CGTGGTACAAAACATCGTGGGAGAAAAAAAAGCAAAGAGATAACATCGCAGTTCTAAATCATCGTGATACAAAATAGCGTCGTCGAAAATAAAGCCGTTCAAACACTTCGCAGTTTAAAAATGTCGTGGTAAAAAATAATGAACCTACAATTCATCGCGTGACGATAACATCGCACACATGCGTTTTTCAGGCTTTAAAAGCTGTTAAATGCATATTCGCATAAAGATTAGGAAGCGTAAGAAATGTTAACGACTTTTTAAGAATAAACGGAAACAAAACGAGATATAATTTTCACCAAAACAATATCAGATTAATAAACGTTGAAGAAGGTAATTTGATAATTAACTAAGCAACTTTTATAAAGGTAACCTTATGCACCTTATCTTCCTTTTTCTAAATATTTTTGGGCTGTATTTTTCATGAAAAATTATGATTAAAACTTTATAAAAAAAAAGATAAATTTATTAATGACCTTTGTAAATTAGCTATGAAAAGTGACTGTAAGTTGCATTAAATTTTTACTCATTTTCAATTTTTAAATGTTTAAGTTTCCTTCTTATTTTTTCAGAAAACATTTCTTAGTTCGTTCAAATATATGAAATATAGAAGTAAAAGGAACCCTCTTTCTTTCTTGCGCTCTATGATCTTTATACGAATATGCATTTACAACTTTCAAAACATGAAAACTCATGTGTGCGATGTTATCGTCATGCGATGATTTGTAGGTACTTAATTCCACGATATTTTTAAACTGCGAAGTGATTGAACGGCTTTATTTTCGACCACTATATTTTTGTACCACGTTGTTTCAGAACTGCAATGTTTTAACTTTGCGATGTTTTCTCCCACGATGCTTTGTACCACGACGTTTTCTCCTTGCGTTGTTTTCTTCGTGACGTTTTCATCCGCGATGTTTTTGCCGCGACGTTTTCGGAGGAAATTCGGGAATCACATAAAAGTTAGATTTTTCATGAGACAAATGACTTCCGAACCAATAATATTAAAACAATTTTCATAAACTTCTCTAACCATTGTGTTAAGAAACATTTTGCATTTTTATATGTCAAAGAATGGTGCAGAGAATAAATTTGTAGCCACCTTTATATACTTTTCTCCTTATTACTCTGATATGTGTGAGTGCTACATATAATAAATTTGTAGCCACCTTTATATACTTTTCTCCTTATTACTCTGATATCTGTGAGTGCTACACATAATAAACAAGGTTTAGACTAGAAAGTTAAAATATTAAAGAATATTTTCACCATTACGAAAATAGACAAAGCTAGTAACAAATTTAGTATCATTTGAAAAGCTTTCTATTATAATCTGATTAATAAAGAACTCCATAGCGCAGTTACCTAACACAAAATTAAAACTACGGCGAATATCATGCGAAGACGTTTTACTGCAATTCATCGAAGACTGAAATAACTAAGAATATATTTCACATCAGATTTTAACAAATTTCACAAAATTCCAGTCAAATTTTGATTTAGCTAACGAGACCAGAAATTACATGAAAGAAATAGACTACCGTTTTACTAAAATACTTTAAGAAGTTCTCTACTTTATTAAATATGCACAAATGCAATACAACAATTTCAACTGGATAATAATTAAAACCTAACTGATACTAGAAACGCTTTGCAGTTTAGGATTTTGTTATGACTTTTAGAATGCATACACGGCTTTACCGTTACAAGAAGTCTTTGACAGTCTTCTAACTATACCAGATTTATTCCCACAAATTACTACGGCTATTTCCAAAGAAGAATGGCAGCTATATTTAAAAAGTATTCTTTTTAATAACTGCATTGCATTTAATAATGTTTTTTTAAGCAAATCAATGGTATACCATTGGGAACTAGCACAGGTTCAGCGATTTGTAATTTGTACCTTTTCACCAAGGAATTTCGTTTCCAACAACAGTTATTTTCTCAAGTACAACGTTTATGTATTCTAACATCTACAGATACATGAATATTGCAATCAACAACTTCAATAAAATAGAATACAATCACATTTATCCTTCATGTTTGAAACTCAATAAAACTAACTTTCAACAAGGAGGTATTAATTACCTAGATCATCAAATTATCAATTTTAAAGATATGAAATTTTGCAACAAAAGCAGAGATTTTGATTTCCCTACTATAAACTCATCCATTGGCACTCCAATGTTTCCAAAAGAGTAATACTTAATACCATACATACTCAACTCATTAGAATCAAAAATATTTGCAACAAAGTCGAATACTTACAAGAAGAATCAATTACTTAGTCAAAATTCTCTTAGAGAATAAAAGACCTCTATTCAAAATTTCTGTAACTCTAAACAAAGCTGGTATTAACTTGTAGACACTTTAGGTATTTCTTGGAAGCAGGAGAGATGAAAAATGAACAATGCCCTCGCCAGGACTCGAAACATGGACCTCTGGAATGCGCGCACAGCGTGCTGACCACTACACCACGAAGGCATGCTGCTAAGAAGGCGGGAGAAATACCTTATATACTCCCCCTTTTAAAAGGCCACTGGGGCTTTTAGGAGACTCAGTCACCAAATCCTGGGTGTGAAGAATCATCATCCACCATACTTTTAGTTCGCGCGCCAATGTAGAGACATTAGGTATTTTTGGAAGCAGGAGAGATGAAAAATGAGCAACGCCCTCGTCGGAAATCGAACCACGGACCTCTGGACTACGCGTTCAGCGTGCAGACCACTAGACTACAATGGCATCCTAAGAAGGCGGGAGAAATACCTTATAAATTACCTTTTTAAATTTCTCATCTAAAGTGATACGATAATTATTAGTACTTAAACCTTAATCGGAGGTAATAGTTGGATGACTACCATAAGAAATTTAATGTAAATGTGTACAAATATCTTGTTTCTTTTTCCCTTTCAATTATTATTTGTACTATCTTTCTACATTTTTTGTAAATTTAATAACTTACAAATCTTCAAGCTTTCATTAAATAAATGCGGCTCCTAGTTTTAAAGCCGTATTGTGCCGTATTGTTTGTGTGTGTGTGTGTGTGTTTCAATTTTTGTTTCTGTTAGGGTTTCAGTTTTTAGCTGATTAAGGCTCAGATTTGATTTTATTATTTAAGTAATCTCTATGAAATGTTTTTCGTTTTCTAGGTATTAAAATTTTATTTTAGAATAATCGGAGACCACCTGGTTTTTGAGTGTTGTTTCAATGAAAATTTGGTTTAAAGTATATTTGTATTTGCTTTCCAATTTCTGATTTGTATATAATGGGTTTAGACAAATTTGGTTTTTTTAATGGTCATTTTACATAATACAAAGTTTTACGGTTTTTGAGTGGCCAATTTGGCGCAATGTTGTGTTTTATTCTTTTTTCCAAGTGTTTCGAAGGCGTGTAGGGAAAATTCTGGAACACTTGAGTTTCGATTTTTCCGTTTTATTTGAGTTTTAATGTCATAAATGAAAATTTAATTGATTCGCTTTTCGGTTCTTTCCAGCAGAACGAAACACATTAATCAAATTCACGATTTCGAAGCACATTAATCAAATTTTATGAAGCTTTCATTCATTTTACCCTGATGAGTTCTGAATTGGAGTTTCAATAAAAGGATATTAATTTTTATTATCTTGTATATTTCTTCCCTTTTGCAATTTTATTTCTCAAGTTTATGCTACTATGACTGTTATTTTAATTTTGATTTGTTTAGATATTGTGGTAAACATCTTATACACAGTTGCAATTATTAATATTGTTGAAGAATTGCTTTGCTTTCACTCCAATTTACTTTTAAGTTTCGATGTTAAGTAAGATGCTTTATTTTACTTCAATCTTGCAGCTGTAGCGCAGGATGGGTATAAAAATTTTCGTTTTAAATTTTAGTCTCTTATTATGTTTCTTTATGTATATATATCTACATATATATACACAGTAAGACCCCGCTTAACGCTGTTTCGTTTAGCGCTGTTTCGGTTTAGCGCTCTTTTATTTCAACCCGGGGATTCTCCGAAATTGTGCGCAGCGCTAGGTTTCCAAATAACATATCCGAAACAGTGTTAGTTGTGTTTCTTGCTTTGGTACGGTGCTGTACGGACGCATTTTTATCATTTGAAACATTTGTTGACATTTATTGTAAGTTTAAATTTATATAATACTATAACGATTAATACAGTGACAAATATTATGATCTTTAGTTTTTATCATGGGTGATAATAAAAAACAAGAAAAGGAAGCAACCAGAAAAAGCATTTCACTGGAAACTCAAATGCAAGTGATTAGATTAGATTCTGGTGAACGTCAATCTCAAATTAATGCTGCATTGATTTTGGCAACTTCAACAATAAGGACAATTTTTAAGAATAAAGAAAAAATACTGTCATCGGCAACTGCAACTAGAATTACCAGTTCTAGAATAACATTATAGAGGAAATGGAAAAACGACTGTCTATATGGATTGACGACGAAATTGAACGCAATATGCCATTAAGCCAATCTATCATAATGCCTTCTTAACAAAAAGGCAGAAAATTGGAAACCCAGAATAGACTGAATGATCTGACTGAGAATTTTATTTGTTTTTAAAAGTATATGCGTTTATATTGTTTTTATTTTTGTAATAAATAAATGTTTGATTTTATTTTTATTAAAAAAAACATTATTAAATTTAATGCCTAACCATTTTTTATCCGTCTTTCCCTAACCCCATTATTTACATGTTAAGATAGCCTCGCTTAGCGCTGTTTCGCATTACTCTCTACTTCGATGGAACGTATCCCCCGCGTTAAGCGGGGTCTTACTGTATATATATATATATATGTGTGTGTGTGTGTGTGTTTGTTTTTGTGTTTTGCTTCTGAGAATACCATAACCGAGGATACAGCCAATCCATTCGCTTGGGATCAGATCCTGTCAAACTCCGAGTATTCAGCGATTTTTAACCACTCGGTCACTGTGTAGAGTTTTAAAACATGAACATCAGAAATAGTTAAAAGAAAAAACAAAATACTCAGTTTTAGGGTGAATATTCCACCTTTATTTCAAACAAATACGTTGAACTATGTTTTGTCATAAAAAGTCTCTTTTTTGGTATTCTTTGTCGGCTGTGTGATTAAGACAATCCCTTTGAATTTTTATTCTTCAACTAACATATTGACCAGTTTGAAGAACAGTACAATAACAAACGATTGGTGAAAATAGGATTGCATTTTAATTAAATATTACTGATCTTTTATCCTTTTATTTTCTGGTCTGCAAAATTCAAAGATTTTATATTTTTGCTCAAAAACTAGAAAAAATGATTTACTGAATTTAATGTTCACATTTCAGCTTCAAGACAGCTCTAATTTTGGATACATCTATAAGATATGCGTTGTTATTTTTCTGCTTTTAATAAAGACACGTCGTCGTCTGTCAGAAGAAATTGCCTAATTATACAAGCTGTCCTTTGCAAATTGTTCATTGTCCTTCATATTCGGCTTCTTTTACTTAAAAATTATACAACATTTTACGCCTCAGGGCCCAATTAATACTAAAGAATGAACTTGTCATCTGGTCAGCTGCGTAACATGAGAGCTAGGCACAATATTATCACAATCCAGCGGAGCTGCAGAGCTTCTACTTGGCTCCATCCTAAAAATAAAAACAGAGAGTTGAGTTGCAATGAACTCTTAACGTCATTAACGTGTCACAAATTTTAATTAACAAAAAATAAAGATACTCGTCTAACTAAACGAAAACGTGCTCATTGACAAATATTTCCCTTTAAAACTAATTTAACTTCTTGATTACGAACTTCTAACGAGCCGAAAATATTTTCAGGTTTATTTTAAACTGTTTTAATTACTAAAATGATTTTTCATTAATGAATTAATTCTTGTTCCTCACACAGTTTGATTTTTATGGCACATTCAGTTTTGAAAATATTTCCTACTAATTTTTATGCTTAAAATCTTCATTATTAGGATACACCCTTTTCTTACATAATAATTTATTTCTCCTTCCAGTAAGTCTAAGTCTTAAAACAACATGATTAGATTTTTACATCATTCATTATAGATCTTAAATATTTTCTGTAATGAATTTTTTATGAATAAATTTAAATAACGTCCCTAAGTAACGAATTAAGTTACTTTTATTTTCCTTTTGGCTTTAGTTATAATCTGCGCACATTTTATCTAACTCACATTGCAAAAGATTGAGCTTTAGTGCCAGGTGTATTTGGTTTTGAAGAAAACTCTTGTTGCGAGTTCTCTGAAAACAGTGCCATTTTCTGGTCATGAACTGGTACAGACGTATGAAAGTGCCTCCGATCTACATAACGTAATTACTTGTTAGGAGGAATGATTTAAGTGAAGATAATTCAAAATGATTGACGGCAATACGAAAAGCTCTCGTGCTTGGTTTTCAATCGTAACATTATTTATTTAAGCCCCATATAAATTCGCTGTTCAACTAGAATAAATAGGTGTGAGAGCGAAGCCTCCTGTATAAATTTATTTAGGTGTTAGAAGAGCGTAAGCACTGTTTTAGCGCCTCTGGAGGTTTGCCTGTACAAAATATTAGTATGGGTACTAAGACGGCATTATAGAAACGCTGTTACAGACATTTGTGCGCTTATGGTGTGCTGCGCAGCATGTCCAGCTAGGAATAAGAGGCATTGCTGCCATGGCACAGTTACGTTTTACAAATGCACTGCTTCAAAAGTAACCCTGACGCCCCCCCCCACTGATACCCAAACTAAAACAAGACAATCATTTCACTTGTCAAATCACGTTAGTCACATTAGACGAGTCTTTTAGACGAAGAGAATGTCTGGAATTAAAAAGACGTTCGTCTCATACTCTCTTCCGGTGAACATATTAAAAGTTTACTGGCTTCATCATTTGTGTTGCTTCTGGCACCTCATAAAAATATCCATTTCATTATAAGAAAGAGAAATAAGATAATTAGATTTATCAAAATTCACAATATTTAAACTTTTGGGCACAAGAACTATACAAAAAATATTCCTGATGTCTGAATCAGCATCTTACTTGTTTCTGAAAACCACTTGTTAGGTTTCTTAAAGTGTTCTTATATATGAATGCATCTAATATTGTACGAAACCTATTTATTTCAATGATAAAATATAGAAAGTCAGGCGACATATCGACCCGTCTTAATCTTCCGATAAAATAACACCGATCTTATAAGAAGGTTCAAAATAAACCTTTTAATTTAGTTCTTCAGTTTCGAAATGTAATCAACTTGTGTAGTAACTGAAAAATTCAACTGTTCTTGTGAGGATTAACTGACTACAAAGTTTACAATAAACTTTAGAAATTAAAGTATAAATTTTCATAGCTAAGTCCGACTGCAAATTTGGGCTCAGGTCCCCTAATCACGCGGGCAAACACGGCTAGCAAAGGTTGAAGCCAACTGAGGTAAGGCTAAAAGCTGGGCGCAAATAGTTCAGAGAACAATTCCAGCTAACAAAAGCCTTCCTCATAACTTCAAAAATGTATTAACTTATTTGCATCTGGTAGGAGCTGACTAAAATGAAAGTGACAACAAAGGTAAAAAAATAATAAAATAATGCTTTAATAAACATAAGTCCTTACAATACGGTTTATTTACATAACTTTTAGAAAACGAAGAGTCTGTATGTTGGAAATTTTGACGACATTTAACAAGAATATTGAAAGAGAAAATTTATTAAAAGTGATGCATTAAAATCAGTCGTTTCTGTTGCTAAACCTAAGTTCTATTTACACTTTTATGCGACATATATTTATTACGAACAAATATTTAGCATAACGTTTAAAAAAATAAAGGGAAGATTTTATATGACTTTTTTTTCTTCACTTAACAAAAACAGGACTTATATCGCATGATAGGAAGAAAATGAAAGTTTCCGAGGTCAAACATTCCATGCGTATACGACATACACGAATGTGCCCTCATTGCTAATCTACATTGAGCTCTTTTAAGGATTCTTACATGTATGTAATTGATCTTTTAACCAGCGGATATTGGTAAATGTTTCCAATTTAATGGTCTACGAATTTCTATAACAAATATATTTCAAGTATTTCAAAGGTAGGTAAAAGTGTTGAAAAAATGTTTATTCTTTCAAATCTAGAAACGTGTCATATATTAGCTGATAGGGACAAGATGAAAGTTTGTAAGCAGGGCATCTATTTGATCTTTCATGTGTATACACATGCACCATTGCAATAATTATTATTTTCGTACTACCCACGTTCCAGCTGCAGAAGTGTTATAGAATGCATTACTGCAACAATGTGGGACTTAAGACTTAAGTTCCTTTAATATCGGAGATATGGCGTGATGTATACAGTATCTTCCGGAGAAGAAAACTTAGAAGCGGATTTATATCTGGAAATTTGAGGAAGCTAAGAGTATAATACGTGGTCACCATCTGCAGTTCAACCAACACAGTAGTAAAAAATGTCTTTAATGCAAAATACGTTCAGAAACCATACTGAGCAAAAAATATGGACCATTTGCTCAACACATTCGTAAAGCATTAATAATACACTGACATGTTTTTAATTACTATAAACTTAATCGAACTCAATAGTTAGGCTACGTAAACCGCACTAGAATCAGTTATTTCTAACTATATGCTAAATAGCAAGTACTTTCACGTGCATCAAACCTACTTTAGTTCCAACTCACAATGAATTTCAAAAAGCGCTGTGATTTTATTACCGTTCGTAAACAATCAGTCACTTACGGTATTTCCAGCCAATTAAAGCATTTATACTTGTACTTTTACAGTTAGACTTGTAGAGACATTAGGTTATTTTGAAGCAGGAGAGATGAAAAATGAGCAATGCTATCGTCGGGACTCCAACCATAGACCTATCGAAAACGCGTCGAGCGTGCTGACCATTGCACCAGGAAGGCATGCTAAGAAGGCGGGAGCAACACCTTATATACTCCTCCTTTTAAAGGACAACTGGGGTTTTGAGGGACGTAATCGCCAAATCCTGGTGGTGAAGAATCATCATTCACCACCTTTTTTAGTTGGGGCGTTACTGTAGATACATTAGGTTAATTTGGAGCATGAAAGATGAAAAATGAGCAATGCCCTCTCCGGGACTCAAACCAAAGACCTCTCGAAAACGCGTCGAGCGTGCCGACCACTACAACACGAAGGCTTTCTATGAAGGCGGGAGAAATACCTCATAACCTAATTTACATCTTGGTTAAGGTTGACTGACGATAAAAGTAAAAGAAAAACATAATTAACATAGAAAAAATGAACGGATTACATTTTACGTTATAAAGCTTTATTTACATCAATCGTGAAAATTCTAATTCAAAATATTAATACACATAGTTGGTTTTAATAATAATTATAGAAGATTCACAAAACTTTTAATTAATTAAATTTTTTTGATATACTTGATGCTATGGAAATGATTTTGTTTGGTTAAATTTATTCAACAGTAGGAAAGCACTTCTACTGATATTTTATTTTTCTTGCAGACCTGTATAGAAATTTAAGTGCCATTTATTCTTGATAAAAAAATATCTCGCTACCAAATCTGCCATAGACTGACTTTTAATATTCTTTTTATGATTAAACTTCAAAGATATTGGAAAATATCCTGTATGAAAACTTGGTACGCAAACATGAAGACATTAATTTCCTACCTCAAAATTAAAGAAGTATAGACATTATTATTATAATTATTGAGTTTAGGTCAAGGAGAGGAAGCAGTTATACTCATCGCGCTTATAGTTTCCCAGATAATGTTGAAAGCAGTTATTGGAAAATAAACTTAAGCTAAATTGTCATTTCGTTTCTAATACTTTTATATGTATTTTTTTGCATTTTTCACTCAATGAGAATTTTGTGTATTACATTCATTAGCTACTAAAAGGTCACTGTCATTCAACAAATCAAGATGCTGATAAATAATCTGTTTCTTACAAAATTCATCAGCTCGATATTAATAGTCTGTCTTTCATTGGCTATGATATCATTTCAAAGTAAATGTTAGTCTTTATAGAGAGGCTATTTAGACTTACTTCAAAAACTTACGTTTGAAGTATAAAACTATTCTTCAATGAACATCTGAACAATGCTTTTAACATGATATTTACGAATGTCTCCTAGATTACCTGATTCTGAACTGTCCGCCGTCTGAAGTCCAGAACTTCTTTGATGGCCTCCACTTATTCTCTCCTCGCATGTCATCGTAATGGTTTTTGACAATGTGGAAGTGCATTTTAGCCTCATTTCTTCGCTTTTGAAGTGTTCCTCTTGTACACGAAACTGCAGTCCGAGTTTTGAGGAGGAGTAACCGTCTGGGTATGTAATTGGATGGTATTCAGATAGAAATTCCGGTAACCTATTTTGAATGCATGTTGCGAAAGATCAGATTCGATGAAATAACACTAATTATTGGTCATATAAACAATTTAAAGCACATTCATGCGAAATTGAATTTATTTAATGTAAAAACATTGGTGTATGCAGAGCAGAAAAAAGAGAGGGAATGTACAGATTATAATTCACTGGAACGGGCTACACTAGATGACACAATGCCTTTAACGGAAACTAATGAGTACTATTCTGGTATCAGGACCGGGACCAGAAATGTATGTGGGAATGTATGCATTCCCACATACATTTTAATAATAATATATAATTATTATTAAAATAATTCATGTATGCATGCATATATGTACGTACATATGAATCTCTGTATGTACACACATGTATCATTGTTTTAAACCATAGGCACTCCGTAACTTATAATCATTGGCATTGGCACACATGTATATGCATATACACAGGTGACAGGTGACGGAGGACGGGGACGCCTGATGTTTAACAGAGGTAAACAGGCATATGTCCCGCGCCCTCCCCTATCTAGTGGCAGCAACTCCCAGGAGCCTCATGAGGCCACCTTGGGAGTTTATTGAAGAATTTTACGTAATTGTACATGGCCATACAGAAGCGTCTTAGGAATACATTAGTTTTGATCGATAGGCGGATGATTTGTTACATCTTGGTTTTTAGACACTGTTAGACACTAATTACAGCATATACATACACATACAAGTACATACAATTGCACATATAAAGATACATACAAAACACTTGTAAAACACATATAAAAGCACATATATAACACATATAAAAACATGTAAGCACATTATATAAAAATAGAAATTAGATACTAGTTTGCACACACTTATACAAGTAAAACACATACTTATAATGAAACATATTTAAGCTAATATATAGTATACACTTACACTAAAGACACATTTAGATCATTTAGACACATTTAGATCACATATCACATGTAAAAATGCGCAAATAAACATACATAAAGCATGCAGGCACACTGTAGAATATTAAATTTTGTTATTAGATGATATAGTAATTACAGATGAAACTTTACTCTGGAGAATACATTATGCAATACATTATATCAGGTACACAATACTTATTTAATTTGAATAGATATGCAGCGCTTTTTATATACATAATGCTTACAGAATTGATACACAATGTAAAAACAGATACACTATGCTTGTAAAGCATTAGATATTAGAATTTATACTGCGCACAATTGTACAAACGAAATAAGACACTATACTACTATATACAACACAGTTATGGTGTACAATTATGCAAACACAATTATACTAACGTATTAAAACGCAGAATAAAACACTATACTACGGTATATAACACAATTGTGCACAATTATATAAACACAATTATACTTACACATTAAAAAAAAAAATCTATACTATTGTATACACACAATTATAGTACGCAGCACCATGCATGCTATGTTGCCAAGCTATATATTTCTATGCGAAGCTATGAGATTATACAGGTAATGCAGATACAATATTGATAGATATAGATGAATTATACATTATGCATATGTCAGATACAGTGCAGATATAATACAGATAGTTTGAGTAATACAGATATGATGTGCAGGCAATAACTGTAGTGGAGACACTATGTTATAGAATGCGCTGAGCTTATTTTATATTATATTAGATGCACAGTGTTTATTGGATTAATTAAAGTAGGTACACAGTACTTTTTATATACACATTGCTCACAGAACAAATGCACAGTGCAAAGTCAGATACACAACAGGTTGTAAGGTATTGCAGGTAATGCACACGCAATGTAGATAGTTGCATAGTAATTATATGCTTTATATACAGCAGATACTGTGCAGAATTTGACAAATTCAGTGCAGAATGAGGTGCATATTTATTTGCAGATAGTTTGTATAACGCGTTTGTGTAATACACAGTACTGGCAATGACTGTAGGAGAAACACTATGTTGTAGAATACACAGTGCATATTAGTATTGTAATAGATACATGATGCTTGTTATATACACAATGCTTACAGAATGGTTACACAATGCAAAGTCGGATACACATTTGTTTTACACTGTTCAGTTAAGCATGGACTAGCATGGACATGCAAGTAGTAACCTGTGATTAGTCAGTGTTGAGCTCTGTACACTGTTGATAAGTTCTGTACACGATTTGTCAGGGCGTTCCAATTACTCTGCGCACAGTACCTTATACACTGATATATAACTTGCAGTTGTTGTAATAACTGTGGTTATTCCAGGAAATACTTCTATAGATATTTCAGTCGTTGTAACTACTACAGAGACACAATGCAGGTAGCAGTCTGTTCATAGTCAGTAGTTTGCTCTATACGCCGTAAGTGAGTACTGTACGCAGTAAGCAGCTATGTCTGCAGTTATGTTACAGTGCAGTTATGTTATAAGCGCAGCACATAATTTAAACATATTGTAAGTTGCATTCAGCTGATTGTCAGTATAAGAGACTGTCAGAATTCTGTTGATGATTTGGTGAGTGAAAGCTGACTGTGGTTGCTTTATGAGACGCCTTAATTGACGCTAGTTTGGTTGGCAGATATCTTGCCCTAGGTCGTTGACCTGCCTAATTATTTGGCAGATCTTTTTGACCGCTGGTGGGTGCTTAATGATGAATCGTTTATATGATTCTATATTTGTGGCTGGGAGTGGTAGGTGTAAGTTGGATGTAAGGCTGCTGCATTCAAATATGTAGTGGTCGGGGGAGCCAGTTGCCCCGCAGACGCATATATCTGTCATCGAAATTGCATGTCTTTGAAAATAGGATGGAAATGGGCCGTGCCCCGTGATATAGTATGTCAAGGGTGCAATGGCCTGGAGACGTTCGTTGTCTACTATTGGGTAGAATCCATGTGTCCTTCTTCCTGTATCACAGTTATCCCACTCCTGTTGCCACTGTTCTTTGCTTAGTTCTCTTAGCTTTCGCTTTAAATACGAAGTCGGGATTGGAGTTGTCACCTCTTGCGCGTCGTTGTTGAGTGCCGCCTCGTTTGCTAACTGGTCTGCCATCTCGTTACCCTCTATGCCATCATGTCCTTTCACCCAGATTAGTTTGATGTGTGTTTGCATATTGTTACGCAGGAGCTGTTGGATTGCTATAATTGTGGGTGAGGTATGGTGGTGATTCATGATTGCCTGTAGCACTGACATGCTGTCTGTGTGAATTTCGGTTGCTGCTAGATTGATATCCTGAGCATACTGAATTGCAGCTGCTATTGCCACAGCTTCTGCCTGGAAAATGCTGTTGTGGGTAGCGAGATGGCCTTTCCATTTGCTTTCCACTCGGTCATTTTTGAAGTGAACGAAGGCGCATCCCACTCCATTGTCATGCTTTGATCCATCGGTGTAGAATCGTGAGTTCACATGTGGAGTTTCTCTGAGAGGCGTTGGGTGTTGTGCTGTCACGACATGGATGCCTTTACTTTTGTGTGCCGGGTGCACATACTGCACACTCCCTGGTAATTCATACTGTGTTGCATGGAAGGCGGTGCCAGCAAAGTTGGCATCTTGTTTTAGCCTAATTAGGCGCTCATATGCAGCTTCTATGCTGGCCTTTATGTGCAGGGGTGTTAGTCCCGCAAGGACCGTTATTGCACTTGATGCCGTTGTCCTATATGCCCTACTTATGTTTAGAGCAAATGGCCGTTGTATTGTTGTCAAGAGTTTGATCTTGCGACTGCTCATTGGTTGCGCCCATATAGCCGATGCGTAAAGAACAATTCTCTCCGCTACCGTTAGATATAGCAGTTTCTGGATGTGAGGGTTTTGCCCCCAGTTGCTTCCCTGGAATTGTCTGGCTTTCTTAGCTATATTTGCTGTCTTGACTCTGATGTCTTGAAGGTGGGGCAGCCATGTGAGACCCTGATCCCATGTAAGTCCGAGATACTTTATGGTTTTTGAGATCTTTAGATTTCGTCCCATCAATTTTATACACGGCCGTCGCGTTGGATTAGTTCTCGGTCGTGGGATGATGACTACTGCCGTTGACTTCTGTGCGGAAATGATCAATTTAAGTCTACTGCATTTATCTGAAAATATGGAACAGGTTTCCGTACCATTTCGTTCGAGTTCTTCTCTTGTGCGGCCAGAGACTAGCAATGCCGCATCATCTGCATATGCTATCACTCTGGTATGGGTAGGCCATTTGATTTGTAATAAGGAATTAAAACGTGATTATCCACAGTAGAGGCCCGGCACATGAGCCCTGTGGGCACCCTCTTTCCTGCTGTTTAGTGACGACACCGTTATTATTGACTATAATTAGACTTCTAGAGTGGAGATAGTCAGTGAAGATATTAAAAAGGTTCCTTGGACACTTTGCCTCCCTGAGGGCCTGCTTTATTGCAGGCCACCAGAGAGTATCAAAGGCACTTTGAAGATCTAAAGAGATAAATGCAGTATGTAGATTGTTGATTCTGTTGTCATTTATATGTTTTCGAATGTGTTCTAGAGCATGGATGGTAGATGTGCCTGTCCTGAATCCATATTGATGTGGGCTAAGAAAGTTTTGTCGGTATAGATGGTGCTTCAGCCTGTTGACTAGCAGTTTTTCGTAGATCTTACCCAATGCAGATAACAGACATATGGGTCTAAAGGATCTTGGATCTTCCGGGGATTTATGCTTTTTTAAAAACAGGACGACCTGTCCTTGTTTGAATGCAGTAGGGAAGATTTGACAATGTAGAAGCTTGTTAAACAGAACTTTAAAGTAAGTGGGTCGAGCGTTGAAGGCGACCTTGATTATTGCATAATCCAGGCCGTCAGGACCTGGTGCCTTTTTGACTGGAAGCTGTCGAAAGATTTGCTTGATCTCTTCCATTTCAAATGGTTCGTCGTCTGAAGTCTCTGGGATAGTGGTGTTTCCCCTTGTGTGCCTTTGCTCTGGCGTGTCATCGTCCGGATCGTCTGCTGGGAAGACTGTGTTTAAGGTTGTGGCTGCCGTGGATTCTGC